ATATTTTTCAGCAATTTTTTACTATTTCAGAAGGCATATATTACTAATTTAAGACCAGAAAAGAAAATTATACCCTTAGTTGTTTTTGTAAGTGTGAGCCTATCCATTAATAAAGAGCCAAGCTCCTAAGACTACCTAATTGCTGCCAATCTTTTCCTATGCACATCGATAATTTATTAATTCTTAAAGAAGATATCAAGACATATATCAAAGAAAATGCAAAAACCAAAATTAGGCAAGAAAATAAAATTTTTTCATTGTAATTTCTTCTGGATTATAAATTCTCCATTTAATCATAATTCAGTATTGACATAAAAGAAACAGTTGAGAAAATTTCACAAGTCATGTGCTGTTTCTGCCATCCTATTTGCTACCTAACCTTTCTACTTTTTCTCTAACAGCAACATTATTTCTTGGCATTCAATACACACACACACACACACACACACACACACACACACACACACACAGACATCTACTTTGAAAATAACCCTTTCACAACACTTTGCCACCTCCTTAAGCCAATAGCATCTTTCTAAATTTAGAGAAATCATCCAAACTTATTAAGGGCTATGTATTTTTTCAAGCTATATATGGATAGTATAAAAATATATACATATTAGCAAAGCATTTGTTTGACTATAAAAATGTAACTGTGTGAACATAAAGAGTATTCTTTTGTGTATTATGGCACTGCATTCTAAAAACAAACTGACATCTCAGTTTATTTTACTTACACAATAAGTTTAATTTACATAGAAATGATAGAGCATTTCAGGAGCAAGTCTTAAAAACAATTTCTGCTGAATGACTGCTATAATAATCTCCTTAAGAAAGAAATAAACATAAACTAAAACAACAGTTGTGAAACATATATAGTAGCTCTCAGCTAAAGACAAAACTCGATATTCAGTAGGAAAATGCTAAAAAATAAAACAGAAGGGGTTTTCATTTAGATTGCTGGCTGAAGTCAAAATGTGTTTCCCTAAAGCTTCAATCTTAAGCATATCAAGAGCTGTTTATTAAGGAAGGATCTCAGGCAGTAAACACAAATTTGCACTGTCTTCTGAATTCTCCCCTAGACCACCAATGAGAAGAGAGCAGAGTTTCACAGTGCTTCTATGTTCCGGACTTGGTAAGATTCTTTCCACAGGTTCTTGCTTAATGAAAGGAGAGACCTTATTGGTAACATAAAGCACTAAGTTATTTCCAGAATTTAAATATAAAGGTTTATTTGTCTTTTAGGAACTATGGACAGTTATACAAGAACTTATGTTTTTCTGAATTATAATGAAAAAAGTCTGAAGTTTGACTATGCAGGTTAAAATTTTCCAATAGATTATGCCATATACACATATAGTCTATTTTTATCAAGTACTGTGAACTAGATCTCAAATAGAAATTGAAATAATTAAAAATTGTTTGGCTTTACAAACAGGAAAATTACTATCATTTTCCTTTCTTCCAATAAGAAAATATACATCTTTATGTTTATATTCCTAACATTAAGAAATTCTCTAAAATGCATAGATCCAAAATTTACACTAAATAGTTTACATATTTGTATCACATTAATTGTTCAACAAATATCATGAAAATTCAGTTTCCCCCAAATTGCTTAAAAAACATGCATTAAAAATAATGTAATGCAGGGTGATAAGTAGCATAAGAGAAATATAGTAAACTCATGCCTTTAGTTCATTAACATTTTCTTTTTTATTACTCTAATTTCTTATTTACTTTTAATTTAAGTCTTGCTAAATGGCATTCATGTTTAATGTCACCTTAAATCATTTTTTGTATAAGATAGAAAGAAATATAGAATGGGAAAAAGGGAAATGAGAAGAAAGAAAGATTGTAGCAGAGGAATGAGGGAATTGTTCCTAAAGGAGGAAACATCTGAGCTAAAACCAGAAGGCAGGGGGAGGTGGGTTACTGTGACAAGAGAGGAAGTGCATTCCAAAGGGAGCAAACAGTGTAAAAGTAGAAGGTGTAAATGAAGAATAGTAAATTGGTTAAATTTAACTTGAAGGCATGGCTCAGAAATAGAAATTAAGGAATATTAATGAAAAGACAGGCCCACAGATGCATTATCCTACTATCATAAACTCCAAACAAACTAATTCACTATAATGAAAACTATGTCATTATTGACATATGACTCGAACTTGTACAATTCACTCCTAAGATGTAGGAAATGGAATTTAATTAACAATCTTCAAAAACGAAATTAACAATTAAAACAAATATTCTAAACATGATATGAAAAACAAGATGGTATGAAACAAATACTGTAACAACCAGATTTTCCCTCTCCAACCCCTGGGTCTTTTGTTGTGCTGAGTTTTATAATAGGAAATATGTTTACTTTTGATCGATGTATTGGGAAAGAAAAGGGCATGGTAGTTAAAGCTGAGGGGTTCACCGATCTAAATTTAAGAAACATTGCATTCAAAGTTAAATGCTGTGATTTTGGGTGATCACTGAGGTTTAACTTGATCATAAACACAAATGTGAATGCAGGCACAGGTGGCAGTAATATAGATAATACTGAATAATATGCTCTCACCATATAAATAATCATCAAAGTGAAAACTGAAAATATTTTGATTCCTGTGGACTAAGGTCCAGTAAGAATAAATCTGTGGCTCTCCATATATCCAAAGAACTAGGTATAAGATCCTACAAAAAATAAATCATTTTCACATGGAATGATCTAATAAGACATACTAGCTGGATATAGATGATGTTGGAGGATACAAGTTGATAGTATAAAAGATGCAGATGCCAAAAAGCACAAGGTATGTTTGGGGAATAGCAACCTGTCCACGTAAGCTGGTGCACATGGCTTATGGAAAAGAGTAAAATGTAAGCCCTACTTAAAAACAAAGAATAGATACTAACTCCTAAGGCCATTATGATATAGTTATTCTGTAATTAGAATGTTACCAGTTTGCAGCATATAATTCAAGTGGAAATGGTAAAGTTTTTTCTTAATGTGCAACAGAAATTATTCAGGGCATTGAATATATTTAAGTTATCAATGCTGTCAAGAACACTATCAAGAAATGAGAAGGATGTTTACCTGTCAGATTTTATACTGTTTGCAAGCTAGCAAGTTAGCCTGCACAGTTTCATGGATGCTTCGATGAGACACTAGACTCCTGGGTCAGAAACAAATGACTTTACCCTAATCAGGGTACAGCAGGCAGCATGAGCTTCATGTTTTCATCTGTTCCTCCTGCCCCTCAAATCCCAAAGAGGCAGTGCAGACAGGCCCAGGGGGACGTTGAGCATGCAGTAGGATTATATCACAATTGAGGAACCTAAAATTTAGGAAATCCAATCTCATAAGGGGACTGCTAGAAAACCTGCTTTCCTTTGCCATCAGTGGGGAAGCGAGGAGCATTATCTTTATTATGTTGGACAGCAAATAAATCTGCCCACTACCCTGGAGGGAGACACAATCTCTATCTTCGAAGCCTGTTTCCTATACAAATTTCCTTGAAGAGATAGTCCAGAACACAAGCTGTCAAGGCCTTGTTCGGAGACATACAGAAATGCAAGAGATCCAAGAATTCTCTCCCAGCAAATTATATATTCTTTATGCTATTATTTATGTTAGCATATATTCTTTATGCAAGTATTTAACCAAGTAGTTCATTTTTACTACTTCAATAAAAAGCCAAAAAGGAATATAAAAATTTCAACTTTTCCTCAGAAAAGTAAAGTACCTGTCTAGTTATCACACTAAACAAATGTGTCCATATGCATTTTATTAAAAATACTTAATATAACACAGAATGAGTAAAACTTTTGGCTTTATCAAAACATTCACCTAGATGACAAATGACATTTTCAAAGGTTCCTGTAAGTGGTACCATGTGAAGCACCTAATGTTCACAAGACCTAATCCTTTATCAAGTCAAAGGTAAGTACGTTAGTTTCAACTTATTAGCCAAATATCAATCTTTTTCATGTAAATATACACTTAAAAGAACACTTATTCCTCCTGGCACAGTGGGGGATTCAACCTCTTAAAAACATTTTTAAAAATTTAATTAAAATCTAGCATCAATTTATATCCCTAATGAATGACTCAGTACAAAATATTAAGGTCATGGGAAGGATATATTTTTCTACAAACAGAAACTTTTTGTTTAGCTTTGTTTTTTTGTTGGTGAAGGAAAGGTGGTTTATTCAAGCGCTTGCAGCCTGAGGAGATGGCAGGCTATTGTCTCAAAGACCACCTCATCTCTGTAAAAACAGAAATGTTTAAACTGAGAATATGTTTCTAACATAACCACTAAAAATAATCAAACAAAAAAAGCAAAAACCTTTTTTAAATCTCTTGTTGTAGAAAGAGTGCATGACCTGCTGCATCTTCAAAACCTTTATTCTGAGTATTTAAAATTGGGAAAAACAAAGTTAAAGAAGTGTATCTGACATACCTCTCCCAGAGCCTCATATCTTTTCTGGTTCCATCTGTGCAAGTCTTCCCGGTAGTTAAAAACAAATGGTTCCCCAGTTTTTATGTGTCTTAACTGCCCCTCTAAGAAGATAAACAAACGGTATTGCTGTAATTCAAAGTGCATTTACAATAATATAAACAGTACAACCAATAGTGTCTGATAAGAATTTAAAATAAATTTCTCAGAACAGTTTAGATTTTTTTCCTTCAAATGCCAGTATGATACAAACATATAAATATTATAAAAGAATGATCCCTAAGTACTCAAAGGCTATTCTTCTTGAACTTCATCTCTCTAAAACAAACTAACAATATTTTAAGGCCTAGTATGTATAAAGATCTCTACTAGCTCTTATCATGAACATGGTCATAGTACTCAAGAAGCTTAGGGGCTACTTGAGGTAAAAAAGCATAAATATTAAAAAGTTAAGCAATTTCAGGAAATTAAACAAACAAGGATGATGTAGGTCAACAATCTAAAAACTGTCCCAGGCCACCTATGTAGACAATAAAGTCTAGAATGATTTTAGAAAAATGAAAAATCCCTAATGGCTAGAATAAGTTCAGAAGGTTTCAGTGAGATTTCTCAAGGTAGGCCTTGAAATATAGGTAGGATATATGGAAACTGGAGAAAGACAGTGAGCTAACAAAGGTTTGGACTGTCACAAAATCAGAGATCTTCACTGATACTGAGTAAGCTTGACTAATAATTCCAAGGGTACAAGAAATCAAGCAGCATAAGCAAAGCAGGGAGAGGTCTGGAACATCCTGATGTTTCCCCTAGGTCCCTTCCTCTCACTGGATAGCACTTTCTGGCTCAGAGTAGGTGAGGTCTCTCAAGGAGGTATACAGATGCCCTCACACACTGGTGAGCGTTTTGGTCATAAATATTTCCATTTCATGTGCCAAAGAGTTGTATTGCTTATGTGATATTTTTTAGAGAAATATTTCTCATATAGCTAAAGGGCTGTACATTTCTTTACCATAACAAATGCTAAACAAGTCATCCTGCTGAAAGTATTCCACAGATAAGGACCTCTCCTCATAGCAAATATTAGTCCTTATTTACTAAATCAGTTAATTATCACCATATTTACAAAGAGAAAAGACTAAGCCACCTGTCCCCAGGACAGGACTCTTTCCTCAGGGGTATCAGGGGAGAAATAGAGCACAGGCCTATTGCTTTATCCTCTCCTCCCCTCCAGGCAACAAATATTACTACTTGAACACACACTGGCATAAAATATCCTTTATTAAAAAAAGTACAAAAATTAATGTAAAAGATCAAAGTTTCTAGGATCTTCTGTTTAAACTCACCTAAAATCCTAGTACACAGACTGTCGCTATAATTCCTAATACTTATTATAACTGATGTTGTAAATGGATATCCACTAATACAATGATGACAGAGAACCAATTCAGCTGATGCAGAGCAACACACCAAAATTAGAACAAATGCTACCTATCCTCTAATACCACTACCCTTCAAGTTTCACAGTGTATTAATAATTCAATGAATCATGATTCTTTGTTCCAGAAACATCCTTGCAATCCAGGGTATGGTCCTCTACATCCCAAGTGTAAAGGTTATTTTATTCAAAATCTAATTAATAAATTTTAAAACAAGGATTTTGTCTGAAAAATTGTGGAAAATTGCTTTAAAATATTGTCACAGATAATTATTGCCAGTCATTTCATTTTAAATAACATGTGAAACAGTAGTATCTTTCTTTATAATTTAATTAGGAGTTCCAGTTGGATACCAGGGAGTTGAATGCTCAAGGTTGAAATGCATATGCTGAATCAAATTCCTGTCCATTAGTTTGCCTGACTTGACAACTATGGGAAATTGTTACTCGGTGACACTTCACTTGAGTGAAGGATTTCACCATGCAAGGATAAGTCATTATTTCTCAAAAGAAATACATAAAACATTCTAGCTGGCCTTGAAAAGTAGCAAATAATATCAGTCTTATAATTCTATTAACATTGTTAAATAAATTTTGCATACAGCATACACCACTTACTTTCATTAAAAGCATATTCAAATCCTTCCAGGGTATCAGGAAAATCAAGAGGTGGTTCATCTTTTTTCATTAGTTCATCCAAATCAATCCTAGATAATAAATCTAG